TAAAGAACTTTTTAAAGCTTATCAGAGAGGGTTTGCTCTCTAATACATCAAATTTTAAACACATATTCCCTAAAGGCTTGTTCATTGGCCTGCATTCAAGCTGAAAGGACTGCTAGGCATCTGGGATGCTCTTTGCTGTGGTGTGGAAATCTGCTCGGGGATTTTAAGCCCAGTTTCCTAGGGAAATGAGTCTGTGCGTGTCTGTCCATCTGCTCCCAGCAATATTTGAGCCTATTAGTCTGTTTAGACTAAAAATGATCCAGAGGTATGGGGAACAGAAGTTCTCTTCCTCCGTGTCCCACAATCTCAACCAGGGGATCCCTGGTACACACTCCTCACTTTCTTCCCCACATCAAGTTGCACCAGACAGTCTGACAAGAAGAAACCACAGAGGTTTGGATAATTGAGCTCATCTCTTGAACCTTACAGGACAACCTGCCTAATGCCCAGTCTTCATCTCACCTATTTGCTATATTCTAAGCTTTTTCTCAGCTTTCTGCACAGCCTAGCAGGCTCTTTCACTGCTGCATGATTTCTGATTTACATCTAATTCCAGAGCAATCAACAGGCTTTGAAAAGGGAGCTGCACAGCAGAGGATGAGAACTTCCAAATGGCACAGAGGGTGGTGAGGTAGGAGCTGAGGGAGATTTGAGGTGAGAAAGTATAGACCAAGGTTAGAAAGAATCCAGAGACCAATGCTACGTGGTCTGTTCCACACGGGCTGATTTTTGGGAGAGCCACTTTGTCTGGAGAAGGCAGCTAAAGCCTGAGGAGAGCACGTTTATGCATGTAAATAAATAAAACGATATTTAACCTTCTTCCCAGGCGCGCTGTGAGTGTGAATGTTTGCAAAGCTGTGAGATCCTTAGTTGAAAGGTGCTGTGAAAGTGCAAAGCATTATTAATATCCTTTACCTCACTCATAATAGAGTATGCATTCATTCTGGGGAATTTCTGGACATAAACCAGACAGCTGCAGAATGACATTTCTTGAAAGCATCTATGATTTATTTTCTGCTCTTTAATTCCATTTTGTATTGAGCACACATTTGTCATAGGACTGTTGTTCCACTGGGCTTTTTAAGTCTAAAGCAGACCTGGGGACCTGATCCTTCACTGGTATAAATTTGTCCCTCGCTTCACCGGAGTTATTTGCTGATTTACACCAGAAGAGAACTTTAGTCCAAGTCTTTTAATTGACTTTCCATAGTGCAGCAAGTTTTGGTGTAAAATCCAAGTGGTTTTAATGATAGATAAGAGTCTCCTTGTAACTAACTGTCTGGCTGGAGTTCTGTAGGATCTCTTCGAGCCACTGGGCGTCAGGTCCTGGGAACGATACTGTTTTTGCAGAAACTTGAGTCTCTGGATAGGTTCCCTGGCTCTGCCTTTTCCATTTTGTTTTAAACACATTCACCTTTACAGTCTGGGTCTGGAAGCCGGGAGGGCTGGTGTGGTTCTTTCACGTTGCACGGATTTTTGTGAAAACAAAACAAAAATATCTTAGTGGATTTGAATTTTTTTTTTTGAAAGGGAGAGAAAGAGTTGGAAACTTGCAGTAGCTGAGTGAACACGTTGTTTCAATAGCAATGCCTGGAGTATTAGCAGTAACTATCATATTTAACCTTTCTTGCCATTGCAAAGTCACACTCGGAGCTAAATCTCATCCTGACACAAGTGTGGCTGCCTCTCTATGTGCCCACACTTTACTGTATAATCCATACTATAGAATCAAAAATGTACGCTCCAAAAAAACCCATTCAGAGAGATTTGGAATAATTTTAACCAGGTTTAGCTAAATTTATCTGGAGAAGGAAGCCTTGATCCTGTAAAGCCCAAGCAGCCCATAGCCTGGTCAGCACATCCGATTGTAATAGTGGCACTTATTGATTCAAAAACCCCATTTTACACTGGTTTTGTGAGACTGTGAGCAGAGCAGGCTCCTCCTCTGTGCCAAAGTTTCTCCATCTGGAAGAGGAGGAGGAAGAAGAGGAAGATGATCATCTATCCAGATGATGGCCTATTTATTTACTCAAAACATGCTGATGCATTTGAATCAACCAACCCATTTGTAGGAGTTGATTCACTTTGGTCAACAATCTGACCCAAAAGAATCAGAGAAAATTGAACATTTTCAGTGAGTTCTGCTACCTTTTGGAAAGGCATATTTTTCCCCAATTTGAAAAGATTTTTTTTCTATTGGAAAATTAATTGCTACTTTTCTTTTTAATGGGATCACCATTTAAGTGGCATTTTAATTAAAATTACACAATGGCAAAACTGTTTTTGATTGAGCTAACCAAATTAGTGTCTCAATCAGTGGAAATTTCTGAGGTTTTGCCTTTCTCTCTCAATGCAGAACTCTTACTGTTTTTTTTCTTTTTCCCAAAATATTTCCCAAAACATTGCTCTAATAGCTGTAGTTGTAATGCTTCTGAAGGACATCCCAGGGGAGAAATGAAAGTCAGAGCCTGGCTGCAAGGAGGACATGGGAAAAGCCAGTGGTTACTTCAGACCTCAGCTCTGCTCTCCTGATTTCAGTGGCTGATAGTGCAGCAGCCCAAACTCCGGGTGCGCTCAGAGAGAATTTGAGATTTGCACAACAAGTTTCCAGCGTTGGAAAATGCCACCCATGCGAACAGCAGCTTATTTACAACAATGCCAACTGCTGAGGACCGAGCCTGGGTATAATGTTCTCTGGCAGCACCAGGATGTGAGCCAGTTTCCAGTCTCGTCACCATGGTCTAGTCATGGGAGTGGGGACAGGGCTCCCTTCTGGGGACAGGGCTCCCTTCTGGGGACAGGCTGCCACCTCCCTCTTTCAGAGATGTCCCATCGCACTCTTTGTACTCAGCTGAAACCGTAGCAGTTTGTTTTTCAGTCTGATCTATTTGCAGTGGGGTTTGCGGTTTCTAGTAAAAAGGGAAAAAAACAAATAGCTAAAATAAAAATAAAACCAGGCAGATTACACGAGCTCTGTTTTCCCCTCCATTCTTCTCTTCCCTCCTCCTCTTTCTCTCCCTCTCTTCCCCTCCCCTTCCCTCTCCCGTCTCCTCTCTGTTTTCCTTTTCATGCCAATAACTCGAAGGCTGTAATTTCAAAGCTGCAGCGGCTTTCCCAGCTCCGGGAGGAATGTGCAAGTGCCTGGGATGTTTCCACAGGGAGCTGCACAGCCCCACTGCGGCACAACGGGGCACGAGGCAGTGCTCGCTCCTTTCCAGTGGCATGGGCAGTGGGGTATTTTGAATTTCACTTGAGAAGATGTTTTTTCCCCTTTTCCTCCTCCTTAAAATAGCTTCTTTATTGTGCCTGTCAAGTCCTCAGCTCCCTGGGTTTTGAAGTCACCATTTATTTTCTGTGAAATACCAAAAGTGTTCATCTCATCCTCCTTTGCTGCCTTCTGTCATCTTGGGATAAGAGAAAGGGGGTCTTCTTTTGGAGGTGTCAGACTCAAGCATTGCCCAAACAATTAATCCCAACTGCTTTATTTACATCCTCTTGCCTTTCTGAGAGGACCAAGAGAGCAGAGGAGAGGAAAAATAATAGATATAATACCGAGCAAGTTGGGATCAAGATACAAAGTTAGAGTCTTGCAAGGTTTTTTTGTGGGAAGAGTTGATTTCAACCCCTCTGTGCCTGTTGTCTTTTGTTGTTAGATCCCCCTTATGATGCAGTCAGAACAGGATGGGGCAGTAATATGAATTCTGGCATAAGCTGGGGCAATGGGCATCACAAATTCTGCAATAGAAGGTCAAAACGAGACTGTGGGAGAAGACAGGCACAGCTGCCTCGTGTTATGAGCATCAGAAGGGAGGAAGATTTGGGGATAGTAAGATAAGAGCTAGAATTATGTTATTAAAAGAAATAGAAATTGAGACAAATACTTCTGTTCTTGGATCATGTATTGAAGATGACGACACAAACCTCTTAATACTTTCAGCATTTGATTAAGGGGGCAGGAGCAGATCCTCTGTGCAAACACAGACTCCGTGTTAACCACCTGCCTGTAGTCCAGTGCAATTTTTTTTAGGGGGAGATATAAACAGCTTGGGCAGCTTCTGAGCATTTCTTCCTACTTTTCAGAATGAAAGATTCTACACAAAGTCTAGCAGGTAGGTAGGGACCCCACTGCAAGAGCTCTACTCACATAACTGTTCTTGTTTCTTACTGGTTGTAGGTGTCTTTGAATTCAGAGGACACTCTGGATGAAGTCTCCTTAAAAATATCAGTTCCCTGTTCCTAAAAGTTGCGTTCTAGCTACTACAGCCAGCTGATCCTGAGCTACACTGTCCCCTGCTCCCAGTGCTGGGACATGTCCCTGTGCAAGAGGAACATGTTTGACTCTCAACAAATTACTACTGGGTGCAAATAAACGCGGCAGGATCTGGCTGTCAGATTTTACTTCCTTTGCTTTGCAGCTTTCGGAGCTACACACGTTCTAAACCTGAAGGTTCTCCTTTGACTTATAGTTTTCTGTGATGAGAAATGATATGAGGAGAAGGAACAGATGTTAATGTTGAAGTGATTTATAGAAATGGCCGTGATATTTTCAACAAAATGTTTGATTTGATAAAGCCAGATTTTTTTTGGATAAGAAGGTTGTTATAAAAAAAAGAATTCTTATTTCCAAAAAATATTGAACAGAGTTCCAACATGGAAGACGGTCAGAATTTATAAATTTTTAAAAATTCAATTTTCTGTTCAAAACATGGATGTGAACTAGAATGGATGTTAAGTTGCAATAAAAGACAGGAAATTAATAAAGTATTTACATATTTGTTTTTCTTGCCTCATATGCGTATTTTCATTTTACAGTGAATTTTTAAATTTCTGGTGAAATCTCTGAATTTTATAGTGCAATTTCTAAACTATCAGCTCTTAGGATTAGCAAGCTTTTCCCACCCCAGTCGCTGTTGTTCCTGTTCATTGTATGTTTGCCTTGTTCTCTGTTCATTCCTCCTCTTCTGTTCTGGTACATTTAAGATCTTTCTCTGTCTTTACAGGTCCTCCTGTTGCAGGGACGCAAACTGTGAATAAAACAACAGAACAGCAACGGCCCCAGCCAGGTAACTGTCGATTTTATCCCCCACAGAATTTGTTAAATAATTAGATTTGTACTAAACTGGGTGAATAAATGTGTCAAGCAGCACCAGTCGTGGGCACAGGACAAACAGGCAGAGCCTGACAGGGAAGTCTCAGGATAATGTGACTCAGAATAATGTAGCGGTGACTGAGCAGTGACAGCAATTGTTCCCAACGGTTTCTATTTGACTGCACTGTCCTTCCCCATTCAAAAGGAACATCCTTGTTTGAGCCCAGCCACGTGCAGTGCCCAGCAGCAGTCACATCTCCTTTGAAGCACAGTGACACGCCGTGTAATAGGTCAGGAAGGAGTGAGGGGCACGGAGCTGCTGCAGCGATGGAGCGTCTGCTCGTTACCTCCTCACCTCTGCTGCAGTGATGTTCGATGGCAGCATCTCCAAACAGAAACAACAAGGCTTCCCCCGCGTCAGGGAAAGCCAAATAACAAAAGCAAACCCTGTTGGGCAGCGAGCTGTGCTGTTTCCTGCTAGTTTCCCAAAGGGGCCTTTGAAAAGTGAAATACCACCTCCTCTGCCTTGCACAGCTGCTTTCTATCCTTTTTTTTTTCCTTCTTTCTTTTTTTTTTAGGGGCTTGGTTCTTTTGGCATTGCTTCAATCCACGAGCAAATGCTATAGATCCAAAGTACCAAAACCAGAGAGAAGCAAAGGAGAAATGTAGAGATTAGGGCCGAGGAGGCCCCATAAAAAGGAAAGAAAATTAATTCCTAATAAATGTATTGTGGGTTTTCAAGAAACACTCAGTCCCTTTGGAGCCAGTGACAAAACTCCTGTTACTCCCATTTGTCTAACACTCTCCTTGCTTCGGTAAGGGAGAGCTGGGTGAGCATTTCATTGACCTCAGAGGGAAGCAAGCGAGACTGCTAACAAGTGAATTTGAAAATCTCTCCTGCTGTCCCACTCTTTTTATTAGGAGAAATAGATATGCTCCTGATTTTTTCCTGCTCTACTGTCCCACACTTCTTTTTTCAGAGTTTATGTTTTCTAGTTGACACGTAAGTGTAGGGTATGTCCAAAGAGATTCTGATCTTTGAAAGCAGGCAAGTCTGAAACCAACGCCAGAACCACTGTGCCGTTTTGAATTCCATAAGTAATTGGTGGTTGTTTGCTAAAAAAGAAATGAGGAACACATCCAGTCTGGTGCAGGCCCCAGGAGAAGCAGCAGTATGAGTAAAGAAAGTGAAAATTTGAACTGGTTGCTGGAATGAACAATATTGAACTGTTGTTTCTTTTTGATGAAACATTTTTAAAATAATTTTGTTGTTGGCTTTGTTTTTTGGTTTTTTTTTAGATCCCTATCAAATCCTGGGGCCCACTAGCAGCCGTCTTGCCAATCCAGGTGAGTTTATCTTTAAATTTCAGATTCAGTGTTATCAAAGGGGTTAGCTTTCCTTCTGATCCTCTGCTCCAGTCTGTTGTCCCCTACCACTGGGGTTGGCTGAGAGAGCCCCTGACCTCAGCAGCCGTGCTCTGACAAATGCTTTTGCACAAATCCTTACAGAAAAGTGATGCAAGTGGTGCGACATCATCTTTGTCAGGACAAAACCACCATCCTGAATGTTCTTATCCAAAACCAGCATTCCCTAAGAAGAGTTTTATAGGGGACTTAACCGCTGGTCTCTCAGATTTGCAGTTCAGGTTAGTTTTCCACTGTCTGCTATGGACTAGCACAATAGAAGACACAAAACATCTCCAAAAGTCACAGCGTAGTGACTGTCCCTAGCAGGTCATCTGCAGAAAACCATCCCTGACTTTGAGGAATAAGACCTGCAGAAAATTTTACTTGAATTAAAAAAACTTGTATACATTGAATTCTCGTAAGGAAATGTCCTCATAAGGCTCTTTACTTTTAGTGTAACCCCACCGAATAAAACTAGGAGTCATCTAGTGTGGGGAAGAAATAATCTTATGTAACTCAAATCACCAGCTGGAAAGAAAACTGTAGGTATCCAAAACAATATCCATGGTAAACAGTAAGCAATTAAGAACTGAAATATACTGTGTCAACCATTCAGTGCAAAAATTTGCAGAACAGCATGCTCGGGGAAAAAACACTGTTTATGAATAGCCCGAAGATTTTAAGGCCAAAGGCGACCATTATGAAATCTAATCTGACCTCAAACTCATGAGCAGAACAAAGGGTTGACTAACTTGTTTGCTGGGAACAGTTTATCCATTCCTACGTAAGACTTTCTAAGGCTTGAAGGAGCAGTTCCCAAGTAAAGATCGAGATAGTCCTTCTGTTTCCTGCCATTGTCTTTGCTTTTAAGCAGGAAACACAATGTCATTTCCTTTCCTCTTTGGCTTGCTTCTCTCAGGGAGCGGGCAGATCCAACTGTGGCAGTTCCTCCTTGAGTTGCTGTCGGACAGTTCCAACGCCAGCTGTATCACGTGGGAGGGGACCAATGGGGAATTCAAGATGACGGACCCTGATGAAGTGGCACGGCGCTGGGGAGAACGCAAAAGCAAGCCCAACATGAATTACGACAAGCTGAGCCGAGCCCTCCGATACTACTACGATAAGAACATTATGACCAAAGTGCATGGCAAAAGGTATGCCTACAAATTTGACTTCCATGGCATTGCCCAGGCTCTTCAGCCTCATCCCACTGAATCCTCCATGTACAAGTATCCATCAGATCTTTCCTACATGCCGTCTTACCACGCCCATCAGCAGAAGGTGAACTTTGTACCCCCGCACCCTTCTTCTATGCCTGTCACATCATCCAGTTTCTTTGGAGCAGCCTCACCTTATTGGACCTCCCCTGCAGGAAGCATTTATCCAAACCCCAATGTCCCTCGCCATCCCAACGCCCATGTATCACCACACTTGGGCAGCTATTACTAGATGCCTTCATCTTCAAGTGGCCTTTATCAGTCTGGTTGGACTTTTTTCTTTACTTCTGGGATTTTTATGGTTTTTTGGGGGGACCCTTCATGGATCATTGTGGCCTTTCTGGGGAAGAATTAAAACTGGATATTGGTTATTTCTGGATCAAACCTTTTACTTTTGTAACTTTGCCTCTTGTGTCTTGAACTGAGAGATGGATGCTTCTTTGGGCCAGTACTCTGCATTTTCTTTGGTTTTTAAAGCTTATGTCCTCTGTAGGAATTGATTATGAAGATTGTTCACCATTACCTGGATTGATAATTAGCTGTTTGATGAGAGAAATTTTTAAGGAGGATTCAAAGGCTTTTGACGAGACATAGATCCAACTGTGGGTCATAGGAAAAGATGACTACACGGGGGTTTTTTCTCGCTGTGAAGAGGTTAGGCAATTTGACCTTTAAGTGGAGGACATTGGGCTGCAAGGGACTGCAACTGGAATCTTAGCTTTAAGGCAGATGAGAGGATTTTCACCCAACTGGAAATTAAATATATATATATATATATATTCATATATATATATGTACATGTATATTTTAAGAAGTAAAGGGCATTGAAGGAACTTTTCTAGAGTGTACAACTTCATTCGACTGTGTATTAACTCCAGAAACATCAGAAACCAGAACAAAAAGTAACCTAATGTCAAGCACAGACATTCCTTGAAAGCAAAAGTGAAGGAAAATAAATGACAGCAGGTCCCTGAGCTCTGCCAGAGTCCCAGGGATCGCTACATGCTACCGATTCGCGAACGCTGTGCGTTTGTCAGACCGTCATCCAAAGGGTCAACAAATCAGAAGGCAAATTACTGTATAAATTATGCAGAGTTATTTTTCCCTATATCTCACAGTTTTAAAAAGAAAGATTAAATAAAACGAGTTGACCTCGGTCACAAATGCAGGTTTGTTTTTTACTATCAGCTCAGTTGTTTGTGGGTTGGTTTTGGTTTTGTTTTTTGGGTTTTGTTTTTTTTTTTTTAATGTAATTTGTACATCTTTTCAATCTGTACATTTGGGCTGTAGCTTTGTACTTTTTGCTAAAAAAAAAAAATTAACAAGTAAGACATGAGTAATGTATCTGTTGGAAATAGCCTTGGTCCTGCAATTGGATCGATAATTGAACCCCAAAGTAGCCAGAAACCTTCCAGATTTCCCTGGGTTTGTCTAGAGTAGAGTTGTTTCCTTGTATTAAGCTGCCATAGTCATCTGCAAATTAACTCTACTTAGCTAACATGTTTGCATTGAAGCTGATTGAAAACATGCACCAGCATTTTAAAGCCACTATTTAAATACTTTCTGATTGTTTTTTCACCAAAAATCTTGAACTTTGGAAAGATCTTTACCACTTCATAGAGAAAATTATCAAATACTTCTCATAACATCTTTTTGTAAACTCTCACTAGGGGTTTTTCCTTTCAATTTTAAATATTTAACAATTCTCAGCCATCTCTAATTTTGCACATGTTAATTTGATGATCCACAACTGGCGGTTTGGTGCCATAAACAGAAGGGTAAACCACAAACATTTGTGTTTTAGAACAGATGTCTATAGAGTCTTGACATGTACAACCTATTAGCTAACTTGTATTAACTGGCAACTAATTAACAGGGTCACAAATATCTAGTCTAGACATAACCTCCGGGACTCTGGGTGGGTGTAAGATTTGGTCCATGTGCATCCGATTGCAGGATGAGAGCTTTGAAACCAGAACATTATAGTCTGCTCATAACTTTAAAACAGAAGCACTGATGCCATTATTTAACAAAATGGAAAAAAATAAAAATATTAAAAAAAATAAGATCAAGCTAATCAAGTTTAGGTCTTAGTGCTTTTGGGATGTTTATAAGTAACATTACTGCAATAATCGCAAAAAAAATTTAAGTATGAAGAAATTACCCATGGAAATGAGGCTTTTGCTACTATATATATGCAACGTACTTTTTTGGATATTAAAATATATATAATATTGCAAGTCATATTGGTGTTTTTTTAAAAAAATGTATTAAGTGTTACAATGAAACTGTTGTATGAAGATGATGATGATGATGTAAAAAAATGTGACAAAATAAATGGCAGTTTTCTTCTCTAAGGCATCAGATTGTCCCACTCTCTCCCTCCCCTCTCATACCTACAGATAAAGCATGAACTTTGCCTCTAAGCTAAATTTAGCTAAAAAGGAAAGCAAAGCAGCTCCATAGCAGTGACAATCATAATCCTTATCACTATAAAACAATATTGACCTCTTATTCCAGAAAACGTGTATCTCTGGAGCCGGTGTTTATTTAATTTAGTTTATTGAAGTGTTTAAATCAGAAACTTGGGCTCCATCTTTTGTCCATGAAGAGAGAGAGAGAGAAAGTGGTAGAGTAGCCAAAGCTCAAGGAGGTGAAGTGTCTCACACGAGGACGGTGGCAGAGCTGGGACTTGCCCAGCGCCCCAGCGATGGGGTCACCTCACCGTGCCGAGTGCCGGGACACGCAGCCTCCCTCCGAGAGCCCTAACTTCCCTAATGGACATCTCCATCTGTTCACTCATTAGGGTACTCAAGAAATCATTGCCAGAATGTATATGTGCAATGCTGTATGTCTTACCAGCCTGCCTGCCTGCTCATGTTTCTCACCTATTCCCCAAACCCCAGGGAAAGCCAGTGCTCCAAAGCATTCCTGAGGTGGAGTAAGAGGCTGCAAAAACAAGCGCTGCCAAGGAATCTTCTGATTGTGTCTAAAGGTCAGGCAAAGGCACTTCCTGTATTTTTGCAGACGCACGGTGGTCCTGAGAGATAGCTTGATCTTTCTGCTGATTTGATAAACCTTTAGAAATACAGAACTGCACAAGTACACCATTTCCTTCCTCCACACACAACCTTTTGTTGCTAAGTTGCTGGTACAATAGTTTTCACTGGCTTGATTAGCGAGCCCGGGCTTTGAAAATGAGCGACGTTAGGGTGTTCAGCCACCACAGAGCTGTTCCCTTTGTGTACTCAAACCATAGTTGCTCAATTTAGTCGTAAGAGGAGAGTGGTTTTTTGCTTATCTCTATTGTTTTTCACTTTAGTGCAATCCAGATTCCTTCTGGCTATGTATCATCAATAGAAATATCAAGTCTTTTAATACAGCGTGCCTGCCCAGTTGCCAGTAATAGGAAAATCTGAAGACTGAGATGGCACGAAAATACCTGAAGGTTATCAGAGTGTGAAGGTGTCTTTGGTAGCAAAATTTGGCCAGCGAGATCCTTGGTGAAAAGAAAAAAGGCTTTTGAAAACAACCAAAGATTTCAGAAGTATCTGTTTCTGGCTGTCTAACTGGCAACATCTCAAAGGAGCCCAGATTGAGGTGGAAGGTGATCAGCAGCATCCACAGCTCAGGTTCTTTCCGTCTCTTTTCATCCTTCTCTTCAGGATATTTGTTGATAGTCATCTTTGTTAGCATTTGTTAATATTTCATGTTAGACTTTAGAGTCTGCCGCCCACTGCAGGTTGCATTCCCATGGAATAACGAGAACTTGGAGTAAAGAGATGTCACACCAGTGTGCCAGACAGCCTCAAACTGGTGGGGCACTTCCCAGGCACCTTCTAGCATTTTCATAAGACCTTAAATAGTTTACATTCCTCAGGTAAAGAACAAATAATAACGTACAGATCAGAGTAACCCCATTGTACCCTCCGCTATCAGCCTGACTTGGCCATGTTGGAAGTTCCAGGGGTGATAAGAGGAGGATCTCCCCTCCCAACCCAACTTTCTGGGACACACTGAGAGAAAATAAACATGGAATTTGACAGTATTAATGCTACTTTTTGCTTTTTCCCAGGAGGACAAGGCAGATGGAATTCAAGTATTTCAGGCTTCAATCAGAAAGTTTACCAAACAGATGGTTGGGATCATGTGGTTGTGAGCTGTGAGTCAACAGGGAGAGCAGAAAATCTTCTCTGCATCGAAGTTCAGAATTCAAACCTCACCAGGCAACCCCGCTCCCAGTGAAACCAGTGGTAACTTAGCTATCAATTTCTAGTGAACTAATATTCACCCAATAATTCTGTTCTACTCCCCAAGCTCAAACACTGAATGGGATCTAGCTTAAATAAGCCGAACTAGAATTAGCTTTACATTTCACCTTCTATAAATAGATGGTGGATTAAGTAGATGTGGTGATGGCTTTACAGTCCCTGAGCTCCAGCTCCTTTCGCTGGGATCTTTGTGACTGTTTCTATTTGAGATGTACCTGCCTCAGTGTCTACATATCAAACAGAGAACAAGAAGGTATTCTTACTGGGTAATTACAGACATCAAGTTTAGAACCTGCTTTTAACTATGTTTTGAAGGCTTTTTATCCTCACTAAATCACTGCTTAGAGTCTAAAGGATGGAGCTCCCAGCTGAAGCACTTGTTAGGTGCTCTAAGTTAGGAGATGCCGAATCTTTCTTGTGTCAAGCATCTGAGACTACTCCCTACGTATAATCCTCCTATGCCAGAACCCATCCTACGTATACATGAGGGACTCACTGCTTTTATATCCTTCTAAATATTGAATTTCCAAACAACTGTCAATTTCTAACAGTTGCAAGGGAAAGGGATTTCCCCGTCCTAAGACCTTCCCCTTAGTAAAGAGAAGGAAATATTTCTCATACTACCACCCAATGAGCATATTCCAGTCCTAACGAGATGTTAACTATGTGGGAAATTTGCCATAATTTCTGTTGGTGTGAATATTTGACGTGAAGCTGGACTTATCTGGTAATATTTCATGTTCACGACTGTGCCTGAAGCTTTGTATTAAAAGCACCGATGAACCCAGCTGCTGTTTTCTGCTCCTGCTGTCAGAAGAAAAGAGCCATCGGTCTGTAAATTCCAGGTTAAAGGAGCCAGCTTCACTTTATTATACTATTATAATAACAGATTTATTTTTTTACAGGCTGCTTTGCTGGGGTTGATACAGTATTTTTAATGACCTCTGTGAAATTAGTGTTAAACTTCAGCCTGCTCCCTGACAAAGTAGGTTCTCCCGCCTCAGACTGAGTGTTGCTGCATTTGGTGTTAATTAGAGCCGGAGTCCAGCGACACATCGGGGGCTGTGGTTTATAAATTCACTTCAAAGACCCTGTTTGTGTGCTTTTGCACAATACCTAGCATAATGTAGGTATTATGATTTTCATCTGTAAAAGCAGAACTCTTTGCAAGTAAATCTCAGACTTTTCTCTCGTATTAGGAAAGAATTAAGAGACCTTGACTCAAGTCATACAAAGAATGACACGTAACAAGTCATTTAGCTGGTGGGTTATGATTTTTTCCATCTACAGAGGTAGAAATCCCTGCACATAAAGCTCAGATTCTTCTATCATATCAGAAGAGAATTAGAGATCTTGGGCAAAATTTAGCTTCAGGCTCCAAGAGTAGCAAATTATAATAAACCCACTAAAAAAGAAATTCAAGTAAGAAGGAAAAGCAGCTTTGGGGCCACCAGAGCAATGTCCCTCATCAAGTCTGCACCTGGGTAGGGGGGAATGGACACAGTGGGAGCAGGTGTGTCACTGATGGGCAGAGGGTTTGCAGCTGGGCAACCAGTATAAATAGCTGCAGCAAACAGGGAGGAAGGTTTTTTTGGGCAGGAGGAGTTTTTTTAAGAGGAGAGGACCTAGCTGCTCCTTATCTAGGAGAAAGCAGAAAAGAAGATGAAGATTTGTTTTTCTTATTTTAAGTTGTAGTTGCTGGAGAAGAAGGAAGGACCCAGGGGCTCTGGCAGTTTGATGCACAGCGAGTTCGACACAAGAGTTTGCTTCTTCCTTTCCAGGAACTGCTGCAAACTTTGGTTATTTGCTTTGGCTTTTCGTTAACTTTCTGTCTCCTGGAGCTGTAAAGTTTCATGTTGGATCTACTTTACCTTCCCTGCTGCTGCAAAACCCTGTGCAACAAGCCAAAGGAGTCTCCTTTGCTACTGGAGTGTGCTGGCACGTCAGGCGTGGGGACAAAGAGCATCTCCAGCCCTTGGAGAGCATGAGGTTGGTTTTCCAAGTGTCCCTTTGTGGTTGCTGGAGGAGGTTGTGCTGGTCCATGATGTGTGGGGACAAAGAGCATCTCCAGCCCTTGGAGAGCATGAGGTTGGTTTTCCAAGTGTCCCTTTGTGGTTGCTGGAGGAGGTTGTGCTGGTCCATGATGTGTGGGGACAAAGAGCATCTCCAGCCCTTGGAGAGCACGAGGTTGGTTTTCCAAGTGTCCCTTTGTGGTTGCTGGAGGAGGTTGTGCTGGCAGGTAGTAATCTGAACCCCACACTGAGGTTTTTTTGGTCACCATTAAGACTTGTGGGGCTAATATAACACAGCAATAAGTTAAAAGAATAAAAGAGAGGTTTGTGTTTGGGGTGGATGTTACTGTGAAGGGTTTGAAACTTCCCTCAAAGCTTCTGTTTTTGAAGCTCAGGCCTGATATGGAGCTCAACAATAGCAGCAATCCGAACCCCCCAGCCCACATGGCTGCAAGCTCTGCAGACACGGGGGTATTGCCAGCCCCTGCCTTGCTGGGGTGGGTGGAAATTTTTAATTTTATTTCAATTTATTTCAATTAGTAAGTTTTTTCTGATCCTATCCTTTGAGTCTCTTTACCTCTACCCCTCCAATTCTCTCCCCTATTCCCTGGTGGGGAGAAGCAAGGAAAAGGGTGGCTTTCAAGTAGCAAACAGTGCATTTTCTGTTTAATTTGTATTTTAATAATTAAATGTAAACCCCTCCTGCCAACCTTTATTTTTCCCCCCTTCAAAGTACTCTGATAAAAACCATTAATTTAAGGCAATTCCGATAACTTATTTTTCTGAGAAATAAAAAAAAAAATAATAAACTAATGGCCTTTTCCCAACCGAATTTATTTTATGATGCTATAAAATTTGGGGCTGGGGTCTTGAGAGACAGGAGGGAGCGGTGCTCGCTGCGGCCACCGGGGGGCGCCACAGGGGGGCTGAGGCGGCGGGCGCCGCGCGCGGC